ATTCACTGACAGTGACATTTTCATTTATCTGAGTACATGTAAGTGCTGGCACAATCCGTGGGTGGTAGCAGCGCCTTCAATATTAAACACGGCTACTTGAAGTAATTCATTTGCAAGAAGGCAGTATAGCCCTAACATAGGAAAAGCATCCATCCAGCAATAACCTAGCATCTCTGATTAAATGCTTGCAAGCTTTCTGTGCTGTAATCTCAGCTGGAGCCTTGCATTTCAGGGTTAACTACTCTCAAACAGCAAAGTATTCACAACGCTGTTACTCCAGAGTCGTCCTGGGTCTTCCCAGTGAAGGGATGCCAAAATCTGTAGTCAGGGACATGCAAAGGAGGGATGCAGCTCACGTGTTGCTGCTTTTGAGACCCCAGCTCATGCGATCGTGCAGCCATTTCCATGATTACCTTCGATCATTGCCTCCACGGCCCATAGCACCTCCCTGCCCTGCTCCTAATGAATCGTCGTACCCAAAGTCACAGCAGGAAGCACAGCTCTGCCGGTCCGGTCAACCGAGGTTGTGAGAGTTGCCCTTTTGTCTTTGAAACATCATTATCTTCCGATAACAGAACTGTTATCAGCGTAATGAATGACGCTGGTGACGCGCGTTCATGTCTCACGCACAAGGACCACCCCGGAGCACTCGGGCAGCATCTTGGTGATGCCACAGCAGCCTGGGGACGTCCTGCCAACAGGCTCCTTTCCCGAAAGGGAAAAAACAGGCAAACTCCCTGCTTTCATCATCCTTTTCCCTGAACCCGTCCGCACGCTGCTGCCCCCAGAGCACTGCCGCTGAATCTGAATGTCATGAACTGTGCAAAGGCACCAGGAATGAACGATTCTCAGAGTTAAAAGTCAGCCTTCTGGCCAAGCCCCAAATAATTGCCAGCCCCATCCAGCATAACCCAGACAACCAACCTTGTGACACCCAGGACATCCTTCCCCGCAGAATTTCGTCTCAAGGGACATCCGCACCATACTGGGAGCTCACGGCCACCGTGGCTTCTGCTAGAAGACGCCCAGGAGCTGACGTTTCATCGTCCAGATGCTCAGGACGCCCTGAGCAAATTTGCTGCTAAGAGCTCTTTGGCGGTAAACCCAACTGGCTGCCCCCAACCAGCTCTTAACGGTCAAGACGGAGCAGGTGGATGGATCCAGCAGGTGGATCTAGAGGCCATCTCTGGTGGAGCCGAGGAGAGCACGGCTCCTGTCTAACCGGCTGACTGCAGCTTGCCAAGGGAGCGGGTGGATAATTTCCTCCCCTTTAAATGACAAGTGACATTTGACCGCCAGAAACGTTAAAAATGATTGTGTCTGTGTCATGCTGCTGAAGACAATTTTATGGATTATCTGTTGTGTAATTAAAGAGAAAAGAGCCCCCTTGGAGCCTTTTGGGTGCGGGTACGTGCTTGATACAGAATTTAACCCGAATATATTGGCTGGAGAAACCTCAAAGTTAAAAACCTTCATGCGACTTTCAGAACAAGCAAAAGCTCCCCAAACTGAACAGTTGTAGCAAGACTCGTGCCCTGATCCGGACCTTAGCACCCCGATCCGGGCTCAGGGAGGAGGGGGAGAGACGACAACTATGAACAGGAACGTACTGAGTAAACATTTCCTTCCTCTGAATCTGATAACTCCGTCGAGGCTGTTGCGTGTTGCTACCAGACGCGCAGCTGTTACCTTAAGCACTGCTAGTTGTGAGTTAGTGGGGTCTGTTATAATAATAGATAATAACTCTAATAACAACCCCCCAAAAAACAAATTAACAACAAACCAAACACAAAAGCAGAGCTGGGACCCTGAATTTTACAGTATTACGGGTACCAATGGTACAAATTTTTAAAGCCAGCTAGGTAAGGTGGCCAAAGCCCTGCTAACCTGGGAAGACGGGAAAGGATTTACGGTGGTCAGGCGATTATAGAAGTACAGAATCATATAGAACACCCCTGGTCTTCAAGCACAGAAGCCAGGGTTTTCGCAGACTGAGCCCAGTCAACCAGGAGAGAGCCTGAGGTTGGCTGGCATTTGACCTTTAGTTGGCTGAATTAGACAACGTACGCAAGAATAAAACCAAGCCGCCCAGTAGAAAAGGTTGTACAAAAAGCTTTAGACTTTCCAAAGAACTGAGGGGGGTTGTTTGCTTCTTCCTTTCCTGTTTAACTGGTAGATCAACAATCTAGCAGGCACATAGAAAACAGTTTGGGTTTTTTTCCTGTAACTTGCCTAACGCTCTTCGGTTTTAGGCTAGTAGGGTCAAGAAATGCCATGAAATCTGGAAGGTTTTTGGACTGCTTTTGCCAAAGTGAATGATGCCCGACTCATTTGTAGCTTCCAACCCACCACCTCGTTTTCATAGCGAGAGCAGAGTTTCTCTCAATTAACTGAGGAAGGACAATTTCTCCCTCATCGGCGACACGTGCATCAGGCTTCACGTGCACAGCCTCCACTTCACTAACAACTTACACAGCAACTTGGTTTCCTGCCCGTTCTCCCGAAAGCTTCAAAGCCAGAGGAGACCCATGGAAGGGATGGTCCTCTGAGTGAGGACAGAGCAGACCTCCCTTCTCCTCCCCAGCCCTGACGCAATGGATCTCCCTCTCTAACGCTACTCAGGTAGCCTAAGCGGATGGTGTCACTAGTGATCAGCACTCAGAGCAACAGTATGGGCACGTTAAGGCAAAGATCCTGGTACAACACCCAACCCAACCCCCAAAAACCAGGGAGACACCATCTGCCTAAACGGTGTGGCCAGAACAACAGGAAAGAGCAACGGAGGGTGAAGAAACACGTCAACGTCTGGGCTGGGCTGAAGGGGACAGTCCTGTCCCTCCTCTGCTCCACCCTACGACTGCATGTTCCCAGGGCCTCCTCCAGGCTGTACCTACTGCGAGTGTAGAAGTGGAGTTGGCAAGAGCCCTCCGTTCGGTGGGATTCAGCATGACACCGCAGCACGACACGTCCCTTCTATCACCAAGCACAGATTTAAACAACCGTCTACTTAATACAAGAAATAATATTCTTTTTCTCGCACGTCGCGCAGAACGTTACAAAACCTCACGCACGTTAGGCCTGATGACCACACCAAGGCCCGCTGGCCAAACATCACCACGTGGCAGCCATCACGTAAAATAAATACAACTACAGCTTGTATTTACTGTTGTAAATTTTTTTTTTTTTTATTACGCATCATAAATCTTTCACACAAAGTAATGAAAAGGATCCCTAAGGTGATACTTTACAGATCTGAAGGAAAACAGAGTATTTGTGACCGTGCCAGACTGCAGACTTCAGGACACTGCCAGACCCACATAATGCTCAAACTCTTGGAAGAGCCAATGGGGCTAGCATGGATTTCAGCATAAATCTTGCTCTGGCTCTGCTGTTTTGGCTTTGGATCGTAGCTCCAGCTGTTCCAAACCAGCTGGGCCCTGGGAGCACTGCATATTAATTAAATGCACAGGGAAATTATGCGATCGGAACAAACCCGTTCCTTCTGTACTTCAATTCAATGTCATCACAACAAGAGGAGAAATAATTTACCGTGCGACTCCTACATTGATTCAGCAGCTGGTTTGACCTATTCTATCAGATTGCTGCTTTCTGTACCCTTCTCTTTATAAAAAGCCCTTTCAAAGAAAAAACAGGTTCTCTCCAGTTCGACACCCGGCTGATAAGCATCTGCTCTGGCTGAGCCCTCTTTCATGAAGTGCTCCGCTCCTGCTGCAGGCAGCGGGGCGGAGGGTGCTCGCCTCGGGGCGGGTTCAAGTGCTCGCGGGCAGTTTAAAACAGATGAAAACGGAACCATCCCAGCAGCTTCGGAATCCACGGTTTGAAAGTGCAATCTTCAGACTGACCTTTCCAAAGGCCGGGCAGCTCTGCTGGCCCACAAACACTCTCAGCCTTTTAATAAAGACAAAATTACAAATCACTACAATAACCAAGAAGTCTCATTCCCCTTTGACGTTTGCTCAAAGACAAAAAACCCCCCCACCCCATAAATCCAAAACACAGCATAAACTTATGTGCAGCTCGGTCGCGGTTCATTCGTTTCTCATATTTTCCTAAGAAAAACTGCATCTCCCGTCTTACTATTGCCTTTTCTCAAAAGCTTCTGCCATTTTAAAGTCCTAAATGCTCCTGGGCTGCATATGTTGCTTTGTAGCTATATTTAAATAAATTTGGAAAGCTTTTTTTTTTTTTTTTTTTTTTTTATTTAAGCCAGCATTTCCATTTGTGTAGGACTCAAATGGCCTTCCACCTCTAAATAAGCAGACAAAAGGAAAGTACAATCCTAGCGCATCCTTCAGGGAAAAAAAAAAAGGGTGCAGGAAATTCTATTTAAAGCCATTTGAAGGACTGTCTGAAAGCAAATGCACCCCATTCTTCAGGTCAATAACCAGAACATGCTGGAGCAGGCAGTGAATACAAGGGGTTGCCATGTACGTTTAGGAACTAATTCCTTGATATTTATGTTTTGGCATGCAATGCACTGGTGACAGTCCTCCACATCGCAGCATGTGGGAGTAGGGTGTTTGCACGCATGTGCAACGGGCACCGTCAGGAGCCTCCCCGGAGAAGAAATGATCCTCATTTTGAAAAATGAGATGTTCTTTCAAAATCAGGTCAAGCCATTTCTTTTGTTCTTCCAACTGCAGAACCAGGTATATCAGGAAAGGACACTTTAAAACAAAAAAAAAGAGAAGTATTCTACATTCAGATAAATTTATACTTCTGCCATAAAACCTTTAATAGCAAACAGGGGATTTTTTCAACACAGAACTTTGCCAAGGATCCCCGCAACACACTGTCACCATTACACACAGTTTTACAGGACACTGGTCTACTTTACAATATTATAACTATTTTCTTTGGAGATTGTTCCCCCCCCCCCCCCCCCCATTCCGCCACCCTCAGTTCACTTCCCCCCCCCCCCC